GAGCTCTGAAGATGAGTCTTCCAAGATTGTTTCTACTACCAGTGCAAATGAATTTGTGGGTTTTTTTTGTTTTAATATATGGGTTTTTTTAATTGTTTTTATTTGCTGGATTATGAGTTGCGTGATAGACAAGAGAATGGTAGGAAAGTTTTGGAATTTAAGGTCAATTAATGAAGAAATTTTAGTTTTTCTTTTTAATGTGAGGTTGTTGGATTGAATTTGGTGTGGATTTTGTTTCATTGTTAGCTTGTTTTACTCAAATTTCAGTTCTTTCTGTAAGTCTCTCCTTGTAGCTAAGGCCAAGTTCTGGGCTTTGCTTGACTTCAATTCATTGAAGTTGAAAAAAATTATATTTTCAATTCAAAATTTGGGTTCATTTTGGTTTTATTTTTAGATGTAGATGTTTTAATTCACTAGCAAACTAAGCTTTGAGAGGTAAGGTATGATAAATGGTTTAAATTGGAACTGGTTTAGACGCATATGAGTTAATGTTGGTTTATATTTTGGTATCATGATGGCTTTTAGTTTATATTTTAACAGAATGATTCAAATGGAAAACGGGTGAAATCGTCGACAAAGAATGAAAATGCTGGTTCTAAAGCTGAGGTGGAAACAAGTTCTGCAGCTGGTAGCAAGCCAGAACAGTATAGTAAACCTGCTGAACCGCCTAAGCAAGACTATATTCATGTTAGAGCCAGAAGGGGTCAAGCTACGGATAGTCATAGTCTGGCTGAGAGAGTAATTCACTTAAATCTTATTTAATTTGCAATTTTCAACTTAAAATCTGAGAAATTTAACTTTCATACTGTAAAACAAACTGTAGATCCAGATTCACGAGTCTTGCTGGCTCAGGTAATAATGTGAGTGCTAAAGAAGAGTGGTTTGGGCCCTTTGAAAACATGTTCTTACAACAAGTTTTTTCCTTTGCAGGCCAGGAGAGAGAAGATTAGTGAGAGGATGAAGATTCTTCAAGATTTGGTCCCTGGCTGTAATAAGGTATTTACTATTATGGTAGTTGTGTTGTATAGTTCTATATCCTTTGTGTACTCTGGTCAGTTCTTTACCACTCAGCCTGAGGTAAAATTGTGATGGTTTGGGTGTCTTTTGTTATTATTTATATTTTCTTATTTTGTTATTATATTAAACCTTAATACAAAGTTTTCAATCAGGTCATTGGAAAAGCACTCGTCCTTGATGAGATAATTAATTATATCCAGTCACTGCAGCGGCAGGTTGAGGTA